TCAGTTTTTATGATTTTTATCAAACATACACAATACTGCTGTATAAGTGGTAAGTCTCATTATTTGGACAGGGTTAGTTCTACCTAGGGAGGCGGGATTACATATATATATATATATATATATATATATATATATATATATATATATATATATATATATATATGTTTACAACACCTGTAATATTTGTATCTGTAATATATTCACATGGGATAAGAGGTACAGAGATGGGAGCGGCTACTTGGATTACACATTGCTTTCACGCCAAAATGTTCAAACATGTCCAAACATTTCATTTATTCAAACTTTTGTTTAATTTTATCATGTATCTACATTCATGTGAAAAACTTAGGACACCCATTTAAACCTTTGTCTTTTTTAACATATTTAAACTTATGTACATTGGATCTTCATTTTAAGAATTGAGAGATGGAGATTATATAGCTTAACAAATAAAACTAAAAAAAATATTTTTTAAAAATAATGGTAACACTTTATTTTGAGTGGTCCTTTGTAGATGACTAATACATATCAGTGAAGTAGCAGTGAACAGCAGTAGCAGTTGTACAGCATCTGAATACATTGAAGTAAAATCTTGAAGATGTACTGTTGATGCATTATTTACATTAAGTAATGTATTGTTGATATGTTACATGAAGTAGACTTAATATGGTACTTCCGTTAAGCAAAACCTAACCTTAACCAACCTTACCCAAAACCTAACCCTCACCCTGGCCCTAATCCTAACCCTAACCTTAACCTCAACCCAAAACCTAATCCTAACCCTCACTCTGGCCCTAGTCCTAACCGTAACTTTAACCTCAACCCAAAACCTAATCCTAAACTTCACTCTGGCCCTAGTCCTAGCCCTAATCTTAACCAAAACCTAATCCAGTTAAACTACAGTTACAAAATGGTGTCAGCAACATGTCTATAACAGCTTGTTGAGGATGTTGACATGGTCAGTATTATGCCTGTTATGTGTTCGGTGACCTCTCAGGTTAACATCTCCAGATATGAACTTGGACACTCAAAGTGAAAAACATTTTTTCACAAGACTGTATCTTTCTTAAGTTAATGCAGTGTGTCACTAGCTTGGAAATTTTCAACAGTTGACATCACTGCATAAAATTAAACTTTCTGTCATTTGTTGTACCCTTGAGGTAGGACTGTACATATTAGCTTAATCTGCCATAGAGATAGATGGATACAACATACAGTCATATGCAGAAGTTTGAACATTCCTGGCCAAATGATTTAATTATTATTTTAAAAATATAAATTATTATTGAATTACTTTAGGACATGTTTTGTTGGGTTTTTTTATGTAAAAACAACATCCTTTACAGAGCATAAACTCAAATTTGGCATTTTTCTCACAATTTCTATTTATTTGCTGAATGTTCCCCATTGGAAAAAATAAAACATTAAATATTAAATGTGGTAAACTTTTGCACAGGTCACATTTTATGTTTTCAAAAAATTAAATTCAACAAATAAACATTAATTGTGCATTTAAATATGCAAAAATGTGTTCTTTTTAGAGGATGTGTATTTATTTTCACTTAGAAAATGAAAGTCATTTCAGCAGGGGTGCCCAGACTTTTGCATACAACTATACATTTTCCGTCCAATTTTATTGGTACAGTGTATCATACTAACATAATGATTTATACAGGCAGTTTGTATTATGGTGATATTTGGTGTATTGTTACTAAGTGTTCAGTACTTGCTAGCTGCATTAGCCTTGTAGCTCCAGTGTAAAATTGAAGAAGCAAAATTCACCAATCAATCTGATCAACGTCCTTTTGGACGTCAGAGAATTCTGTGGATTTTCCACCAAACCTTCAAAGTAATGTGTTCTGTCTTGTGCTGATCTTTTTAAGTTTTGCACTTAATTATTAAAAACAATTCAATTAATTTAAACATGAAACATCTGTTGAACATAAGCTATGATGTGGCACAGGTTAGTCCTGTTTGCATTGCTTTGGTCTGGGTTATGAACCCCTAGTTTCAGTCCTGGTTTAATGCAGCCTGGTTTAATTCATTTAACAACATATTAACAGGTATTGAATGTAAGCTGTATTGAAGCGGTATTCAGTGCAGTGGTAGAGATTGTATGTGCAGACTGTGTGTGTGTGTTTGCTCTTATTAACATATTTGTTATCTTTAGCTCGTGGTTTCATGTGAGCTTTGTCTGGCTTTGTGGAAAGACGAACTCTCCTGTGGTGTGGTCTTGTTTTTAGGCCTTTTGTGCATATTCGTGAATGTATATTTGTCTCCTGTGTGATGTCAGGCAGGAGTAGAGTATCTTCATAAATCACTGTGGCCTAAATTCTCTTTCCTCTTCCACTCAGCTGTCATATGATCTTTCATCAACTTTATTTATCCCAGAATATGTCAACGTATGTTTTTTTTCTCTTTTATGCCATTAACGCTGTCTTTTCAAGACCCACTTTCCTTTCCTAAGGGACACAGCTTAAAAAACTGTGACCAGCACACACACCTTCCTGCTTTAAACATGGAGAGGTGTTTGCTCGCTTAATATAGCTTATTGAGAGTTACACTGTGTCCAAAAGTTTGTGGACACGTGCTCATTCTTCTGTTCTGAAGTCAAGGATATTAATATGGAATTTGTTCCTCTTTGTTGCAGTAACATCCTCTGCTGTTCTGGGAAGGCTTTACACTAGATGTTGGAACATTGCTGTGAGAATTAAATTGCATTCATCACAAGAGCACTAGTGAGCTACTGCTATTGGATGATTAAATCTGCATCAATAACTCATCCCAAATGGATTAGATGGAGCTCCATCACTCCAGAGAATGCAGTTCCACTGCTCCACAGCCTAATACTGGAGGGCTTTATACCCCTCTAGCCAATGCTTGGTATTGGGCATGGTGATCTTAAGCTCATGTATGGCTGCTTCAGAGCGTCTAATTCTATTGGCAGTGCTTTTCTATGGAGATTAAGTGGTGTGTGCGCAACTGACCATCTGTGTCAGTGATAGGTGCACCATAAAGTAACTGAATTTGGACATATAGTGTACTGATAGGGACAGAGCACAATAGCATCAGTTCCAATTGACCTATCCAGGCTCTGCCCACCAATTTGTTTTTTGTAGCTGTATTTGCGAGCATGGAAAAGCTTTGCAGAATGTTGTCAAAAATCAGACTCAACCTAATGAACATTTATAGCACACAGCTCAGTTGATGTCAAAATATGGCAATACATGTAGAATTTGATAGTAATTGCATGTTTATCTTGTGTGCATATGAAAAGTCACACTGTTGGTATAGATATGATAGTGTTTTTTTTTGTTTAATACAGGTTTTTATAAATGAACATCTAATATATAGGCTAAGCGAAATGTTTACAGCTGATGTACAGCTGATTTAAAGTGGTGGGTGGGGGTAGGGGAAGGTGAAACATTATATTATTTACATTGGTTTAAGATGATGTTACCAAAAATCAGAAGATGTTTTAGAGGTGGGCAAAACTCGCTATAATTTGATCAAAGATTATGGGAAAACTGGAAGTTTGTCTTTTAAATGATGATATGATGCATTGTGATTACAGATTTTAGGCAGTTAGCACGTCAGCACTCTGTTTGGACCAAACCATGAACAGTGTTTTACTGTTTGAGTGCAGTTTGCATTCAGTTTAATTCACTTCTCCTCAGTCTCAGCCTTCAACAAAATTGCGTATTTCTGTAGCTCAATTTGCAAATGCTTGAATACACTGTTACAAAACTGTTACATTGAACTCCAGAATCTAATATGAAAATAAACTGCACATCAATTTACTCAATCACAAATATTATATCAGACAAGAATCAAATCCAAAATAATTGTAATGGTTATAGAGAAAAACTGCAAACTGAATGTACACTACATGGCCAGAAGTGGACATCTGACCATCGCACCTATGTAAGGTAGTTGGACATCCCATTCCAGAATCATAGGCATTAATATAGAGTTGATGCCTTTTTGTGACTATGACAGCCTCCCCTTTTCTGGGAAGGCTCTCCACAAGATTTGTCTGATGTCTGTGGAAGTTTGAGACAGTTCAATCAAAAGAGCGTTTGTGAGGTCAGGCACTAATATTTAGACAAACCATGTCTAAAATGTCTGTAGCATATACATTACCATTCACTGGAACTAAGAGGCTGAGAGCAAACCCTGAAAAATAGCCCCAGACCATCCCTCCTCCACCAAACTTTACTGTTGACACTCTGCATTTTTATGGCCTTAAGACCATAAATTAACGGTCTCGGTTTCGACATTATTTGGACTCGGCCTTGTCTTGCTCAGAAATTGTTCTCGAGACCAGACAAGTGTGTTGCCTCCATCTGAGGTAATTAGAAAGAAAACTTTTTTCTGTCATTACTGAATATCAAAAAACCTTTAACATCTTCAATGCAAACTGGTTGAGCTATTCTGAGTTGGCAGAAGTGTGTAATAAACCTTTGCGCCAGGCAGTGGGCCCTGACCATTTAAGGGGTTAAACAGATTTAAACAGTCCTTTCTCTACACCAGGGATCTCAAAGTACCTGATTCATTCATGGCACACCACTAGATACAGCGTGTCAGAATTAAGAAATGAACAGAATTATCAAACAAATCCACTGAGAATGCAGATACTGCTCTCCATTCCGTAGACTTCACTTGCAAAATGACAGTCTTATTCGGTTCTGTTACAGCTGTTCTGTTATAACTGTAAAATGTAAGTTTATTTAATTCAAGTGAAGGGTAATGTTATTGCTACAGACATATGAGACATGGTAAAAATAAAATTCATTTGGTTCATTGTAAATTCATTATTCTTTATACATGATATAATAATAAATAATATTAGATTTTCTAATGTATTTTTTTTTAGCAAATATATGTTCATGAACTCTTTCGAATACCTGAATATTAAAATTAGTCTGAGTGCACTTCTGTAATACTTGGTGTATTTAAATCTCTCTCTTTCTCATTTTCTCTCCCTCTCTCTTTCTCAGGTTGATATTTGGTAGCTGATTGTCATCACTTTTTGTTGCCTGATTGACAGCCTGTGGCCTTTACTGTTCTCTGGCCACCCCCCACAAATCTCTTCGGTAATCATAGGGCAGAACCGCCATCGCCATGGACACAGACTCCGTCCACTCAGGCCACTCCCACCACTCACGAGGGTCAAACAGACACAGGTAAAATATGTTGAAGGATCTTTAAACACACAGCTTTGACTTTCTGCTTTTTTATAGAAACTGCAGTGAGTTAAATCCATTTAACGTTTACACTGGAATCTCCCATTCACACTTCACAATGTACTCACCTGAGGGGAAAATGAGCTTATTTCATTTATAATGATTTTTTAATTTCAATTATTTATTACAGATGAATATAATTAGAATTGTTAGCATTTAATGAGGAATGAATTTTATCAGCAGAATTAATGAGCTAGACTGTGAATAAAGATTCATTAAGGGGGAGAGGGATTTTAGGGAGTTTGCTCTATTAAATGTTTTTCTGAATGTCGAGGGTCATGTCTTGACCTGAAAATGCCAAGAGTGCGCATAACATGGTATAGAACCTGGTCATATGACATTGATATTGATATCTCATTTGATGATTTAAAAAAAAAATGTGAAACGAGAACTCAACAGAACAGTAACCTGTGTTTTATGTTCTGTTAATTTGTTAGTTCAGTGAAAATTTTAAGACACCCAGATTACTGATTTTTTATATAGGTTATAATATTCATATTATTTGAAGGTACCTACTTATCGCTCCTGTTCAAAGAAAAATCTATATTTTTGTCTTTGATCTACCTTTTACTCTGTGTCACATTTTTGTGATAAACAGACTAATAGAAAAGGTCCAGAATGATTGGAATTGAAACTTTAACAGTTGCATTAACTTCCACTGAAATTTAAGAGTGTTTTTTCCTTCTCTTGTAAAGTTAAAGACAGGGTTTTGTTCTAACCATATTTACCATGCATATGTGCATTTTATTTCATTTCCTGTCAAAATGGCCAGTAAGTAGAAGTTGTTAATTTTCAGGAGATGTTTGTGAGGACATTAGGTATAAGATAATCCACTTGCGCAAGTAAGAAGTAAGTCAAAGTGGGAAAAACAGGAGTTTACAAAATTGGAGTTTTGGAATGAAATGATTTAAGGATACAAAGAAAATAGGGCTCCTAGCAACTGTGCAAAACCTGCTAGACCACCAAAACTGTCACTATCAGATAAACAGCACTTAAAGCTTTCATCTATGAGAGAAAATCAAGCTCCACTCTTGCTTCAGATCGGAAAAAATCCACATTGTTTCTGTCCATCCTTCCACTGTAAGAAGACAACTCAATGCTATGAGCTTGAAAGGAGACTGTCAAGAAGCCAACACTGAGAAAAGTAGATAAAACATCTGCAAATCAATTAAAGAAGCTGAAGCTGTCCAGACCTCAACATCACTGAATGTATTTTCTTGGATTGAGAGAAACAGAAAATGCAACCAACTTCTAAGACTGAACTTTGGAGGTGTGGAAAAATATGATTTCATATGATTTCAGATTTTCTGATTTCTTTGAAATATTGAAAACATGGGAGCTGCAATAAAGGCAAAGACTGGACACTCTGTGGACGTGTGTACTGTGATATAAGTCTTTTCTCTTGCACGACTCTCTGTATTCCTTGCTTATCAGTAACTCAGGGTGAGACTGGTAACCATAGTGATGTGAAACCTGCACACACATTGTCTCTCTCTCTCTCTCTCTCTCTCTCTCTTACTCTCTCTCTGCACTGCTGGTGTTGACCCACTCTGCCTGAACACTGCTGGCACTACCTGACCCACTGCAGGCAGAGAGCTATTTTTTGCCCTCTATTGTTGCTGGCTTTCCTGTCGCCACTCCACCAAAAACGTCCCAGTGGAGCTCTGGAATTTAGGCACAGCAGCAGTTTAACCCTTCTAGACCTACAGTGGTGTTCACACCTTAAAACATGTCTGTTTACACTGTATTACTCACTGGGAGCTCTTTGAAACAAACAGAGAAATTCTGTTGAAAGTGTAGATGTGTAGTGTAGAGGAGTTTCATTATGATTTGAATTTGAATTTGAAAAGTTATTGCCGTATGCACGATCTTGTTTTGTAGAAAAAAAAGAAAAGAAAACCCATCCTTTACATTATTATAAACATTGATGTAAATCGAATGTAGGGCAAACAACAGTAATAACTCTAGGCTTCTGTGGGTTAAGCACTATAAGAATTATGCCATTAACACCCTTCCTCTGTTTCTGTTTTTCTGTCCACTTCTTCCTCTGGAAAGATTGTGTGTGTTTTGCTTTCGCTTTTTTCACTACTATGCTGTTGATTTGTTTCTGTTCATTCCCGTATGAATGTGAATAAGAAAGCAATATCATGCATGTGAAAGTATGACGTGAAATTATGAATGTTGACACTATGTTTAATACTTCTGACTATGACATTGTTGCAAGAGTAGAAATAGAGTTCTGTAGAAATAAGGTGACCTGATCAAGTGAAATTATTAGGAATTCTGTGATCCAACTGCTCTGTTGCCTCACAGCAAGAAGGGCCTGCAAAACAGAAGCATTTTAACTAGTAGTCTCAGACTTTTGGAACCTGTAAACTTAAGGCATGTGTCGGTTTTTGGTAATTCAATATACTGCAATATTATACATGCACAGTAACAGGGGAGCTTGTAAGCAATAAAAACAGCCACAGCACAACAGAAGAAGGAGTAGACAGAGACCTTTTTATTGTTCATATAACTCCCTTTGTTAGCTTGATGTTATCTTATAATGGAGAGTCTCAAATTCCCTCTAGCAGAAATTAGCATTCTCATCACATGCTTTTTGATAAACAGGAGGCTAATGTCATTTACATATTTACATATAAAGTGTACATATTTATAAGTTTCTTTTCCATATTTTGAGTGATACTATTGGCGATAGGAATAAAATGGCTATAGGAACAAAAGAGTTCGGAAAGCAATAGCTAGGGACCTCGGACCCCCGTCTCTGTGATTGGTCTGAGGATATACAACCCCGTTTCCAAAAAAGTTGGGATGCTGTGCAAAATGTAAATAAAAATAAAATGCTATGATGTGCAAATCATATAAACCATAGTTTTAAAGAAAAATACTACAAAGACAACATCTCAAATGTTGAAACTGAGAAATTTCATTGTTTTTTGAAAATATATGCCCATTTTGAATTTGATGCCAACAACACATTCCGAAAAAGTTGGGACGGGGGCATGTTTACCACTGTGTTGCATCACCTCTTCTTTTAACAACACTCTATAAGCGTTTGGAACTGAGGAGACCAATTGCTGTAGTTTTGAAAGTGAAATGTTTTCCTGTTCTTGTTTGACAAAGGATTTCAGCTGCTCAACAGTTCGGGGTCTACTTTGTTTTTCATTTCATAACCCTCCAAATGTTATCAGTGGTGACAGGTCTGGACTGCAGGCAGGTCAGTTTAGCACCCAGACTCTTTTAATTTGGAGCAATGCTGTTGTAATACATGCAGAATGTGGTTTGGTATTGTCTTGCTGAAATAATCAAGGCCTTCCCTAAAAAAGACGTTGTCTAGATGGCAGCATATGTTGCCAAAACATGTATATATCATTCAACATTAATGGTGCCTTTACAGATGTGCATGTCACCCATGCCATGTGCACTAATGCACCCCTATACCATCATGAATACTGCCTTTTGAACTGTGCACTGATAACAAGCTGAGTGGTCTTTAGCCCAGAGGACACTGTGTCCATGATTTCCAAAAAGAATTTCAAATGTTGATTCGTCGGCCCACAGGACACTTCCCCTCTTCCACTTCCCCTCAGTCCATTTTAAATGAGCTTGGGCCCAAAGAAGGTGGCACCATTTCTGGATCCTGTTTATGTACAGTTTCTTCTTTGTGTTTTAGAGTTTTAACTTGCATTTGTGGATGCAGCAACAAACTGTTTTCACAGACTGTTTTTCAGAAGTGTTTCTGAGGCCATGCAGTGATTTTCACTACAGAATTATGTCTGTTTGTAATGCAGTGCTGCATGAGGGCCCAAAGATAATGGCCAGCAAATACTGGTTTTCAGCCTTGTCCCTCTTTCACAGAGTGGTGAACCCCTCCTCACCTTTACTTCTGAAAGACTCAGCCTCTCTGGGATGATCTTTTTATGCACAATCATGTTACTGACCTGTTGTCAATCAATCACCAGGTGTTTTTTTTTAGCCTTACACAACTTTACCAGTCTTTTCTTGCCCCTGTCCCAACTTTTTTGTACCGTGTTGTTGGCATCAAATTCGAAATGGGCAAATATTTTTCAAAAACAATAAAATTTGTCAGTTTTAACATTTGATGTGTGGTCTTGGTACAATTTTCAATGAAATATAGGGTTTACATGATTTGCACCATATTTGCATCATAGCATTTTGTTTTTACTTACATTTTGCACAGCGTCCCAACTTTTTTGGAAATGGGGATGTATTTTGAGCCAATTGTTCAAATTATTGCTTCACTACATCATAGTTAATTTGCATTTTTGCAAAAATTTCAACTCAACTTGTCACTTCTCACCCTGCCGATGTGTCGCTTGCTGCTAGTCACTAAACTGCAACTAAAATCACCTACTTCCACAGGAAATAACTGCTCACCTGTGGCTTTCGCCTTGCTGTTGCTGACGCTTTTACCACTTTTATGAACTGAGGAAACTAAGTTTGTTTAATAGACTAACTGTTAGCTTGTCACTAGCTCTGTATAAGACACTCCATTCCTAACACTCTGATTTGAGGCGACAATCTCTATAAATACGAAGAAGTTTCCTGTGGCTCAGGGATTGCTAGCTAACTAGCACACTCTCAGTTTAATTATTTTAGAGAATAAATGAGAGATTGCTGGCTAGTGAGCAGAAGGAAACTTCTTGAGACTGTGTGTGGAAATAAGAGCAACACAGCAGAGTTTAACGTGTGCTTGAAATCCTTTATCATCCAAATTGCGCATTGTCACACAGATTAGCATTTTATGCTGCTTATTATGAAAATAATTGTTTACCAGTGATGTTTTTCATTTCTTTGTTGTATTTCAACTTGTTTTATATATATATATATATATATATATATATATATATATATATATATATATATATATATATATATATATATATATGCATGATATTTATATAATGATATTGTACTACTGCTATTACTACTACTACTTCTATTCATTCATCAGGATTTTTCTTATTCTTGTAGAACACTCAAAAAATTAAAATATTCAAAAGTTACAGCCCTTTTCATAACCACTTACACACCAGTGGGGATAAAAAGATCATGATGTGCTTCTCTGTTCATTGGCCACATGCAGACTAGTGGTGTCTCCCTTTGTGTCCAAGCCTTGGATAACATAGCCAAGGTGAATGTGTTCTGCAGGTTACTGATTACTGATCTACTGAGGACTGAAATTAAAAACCTAAACCTTTAAATGATATGAAACCTCTAATTGTTCATTTCTAGTGCATTGAATTTCCAACACTGAAATACGTTTGTCATTTCCACACTAAAACATGTATCTATTGGATTCAAGTAAATTCAGTGCAGTGCATCATTGTTTTGAGTGTACGTGTAGTTCCGTTGGTTTGCTTTCTGAGTCAAACAGCAGAATCCAGGCTTTGCAAATGCCTTTTCACAGTCAGTATTGCTGTAACAGGCTCAGGCCTGCGGCGAATATCTAGCAGAGGCAGTGCTTGAAAAGAGATGGTTAAATTGCAATTGACATAGTGATTAAAAAGAAATTGAAGATCTTTCAGCAGATGTGGACGTTTAATGACTTGCCAGCTTTTGCAAATTAACCAAAATGAAGATGACTTGGACCCCCAGGAGCAAGCAGCCTGTGGAGGAAAAATGCACTGCGCTTACATTTTCTTATACATTCATTTTGTCTGTCATTTTTGACATTGAAACAAACAATAGAAATAGAGTGCAAATGTAATTCTGTAGGAAACTGTGTAATTATTCATGCAGTTGTGTAATCATGTTTAACTAGTATAACTAAGTACAGTAACTCCAGACTTCTAAGGTAAATGTAGTGCTGGGTAATGTATTGTCTATACTGATTTACCACGATATTGACATGCCTTGATCTTGCTTTAAGAATTGATAGATAATTAGCGTTATGTCACTGATATAATGGCCCATGAAAGACTGGTGTTCTGGTTGCCATGCAGTGTTTATTTATTTTTTTTAATGAAATTGAAATTGTTCTCTGTCTGGGAGCACCTGAGGACTGCTGATGAATTAATTTGGACTTTAGACTAAAATCTTTTGCTGTGAGTGACGCTGTACCTTAATTACATTTATTTTATTAAAACAAATGATTGGACATTTCATTTTGTCACTAACAAAACAATCATGACACTACTGAAACTTTACAAAATGCTTCAGTTGTGAGAGTTTATCTGAATACTTAATACTTATTTTATTAAATTTTTTTTTTTTTTTACTGTGGACTGCAGTTTGAACTAATTTGGATATAAAGTGATATTAAGTGAAATTATTAGAAATTCACTGATCCAACCTTTTTGGATCAAACTCTTCCTCTCCTGATACTGATTCCCAATACCGACGATTGATCCAATACCAGTGCTGTTCACTCATGTTTCTGTTTTGAAAGAACAGTTTAAAACATATAAAACCCAAATAAATTTCTTTCTTTTGAAATGTGTGTGTGAAGAAAACAGAACAGTCTGAACAAAACCAGCTTGCTGAGGTCTGTTAGACGTTTTTCTGGCGTAGCAGAGCAGTTCTCAGGAAGCATGGCTTCATTAACTTTATTAACACAAATACAAAAGTGCAAAAAACTGGAAAACTTTGTGATGTTGAATTTTTCCAGCCCCACCCAGCACTAGTGAAATGTATCCCCACCTTGTGTCTGCATGTGTGTCTGAAGACTCGCTAAACCACACAGAGCTGTTTAAGCCACAGAAGAAAAGTTTGTGCCAGTCTGCTCATTCTAACAGCTTCACCAAAGACAGTGCCACAGGACACACTGCTCCATTTACTGAGAACTTATCAGGCAGAAGTGGGTTACAGAACTTCTGCTGCGTTTTCCTTCATTTCAGTGACTGTGGTAGATTTCAAACACATCTAACATGACAAACCGTGTTGTTTTTCTGCTTCTTTTGCCACACCTTGTGCATCCGTGGATCGTATTTTTGGAAAACGCAGCTGAAAGCTTTGCATGCAGGCCTGCATTCCTGATGGATTACTGTGCTTTGAAAAATGGCTGCTGTTAAACGAGTTTAATCTGTATGTTATACAGAGAGGAGGCAGTGACCCAGAGAATTACCCTGCCAGACATCAGGGGACACGCTCTCAGTCTGCTGCCCTCTGATACTGCACACACGCATGTGTGTGTGTTTATTTGTTTATGTCTATTCATTGTTTTGTTTGTTGTGTTTTGTGTTGAAATGCAGATAAACATGAACTGTTGGGAAAATAAAGCAGCAACACAGGACAACAGCACAGAGAGAGAGAGAGAGAGACAGAGAGAGAGGACAACAAAAAAAGATATGACAGTGAAAGAGGGAGAAAAGAGAGAGAGATACAAAGAGAGAAAAACAGGCAGAAATAAAGACACAGAGAGAAAGAGAAAGGAAAAGAGTCAGAAAGAGTAGAGGTATAGAGTCAGAAAAAGAAAAAAGAGAAAGAGCAAGATAGGAAAAGAGTTAAAGAGAAAGAAATAGAGAGTGAAGAAGGGAGAGAGAGAGGAAGGAGGGAAGAATAAGAAAGGAAGACAGAGAGAATGAGATGTAAGAGAGGGTGAGAGTGAAAGAGAGAAACAAAGTGAGAGAAAATTAGAGGCAGAAAAAGAAATACAGATTTTTCACTTTTAACATTTAGCACTTTTTTTCATCGCTTTGGCAGTAGTTGTTCATTGCAGTTCATGCCCACGAAGCACCTTGAATTGAATTGAGAGAAAGAGAGAGAGGGGAGAGAGAAATAGACCCTGTTTACACCTGGTCAGGTCATATGACTAGTATCTGGATTGTATCCTGATAAGATTTTAGCCACATGCATTTACGCTTGGTAGTCGGACTGAAATCCAATTGCTGTGTGGAATGGAATATGCAAATCCACTCATTACTTGGCAACCAATTACCAATTGTTTATCCGTTCAGCTTCTTCCTGTACTATGTGGTAGATGGCTCCTGTTTTGTCTGTCCAGATTGCTGTTTCATTTTGTCTGGTCTTCAACCATGTGTGTCCTCCATGATTATTTTCCGCACAGACCCGGATCAGGTGCCCAGTGACGTACTGCATGAAGAGGATTTTCAGGTGTTGAATGTGTCTTTGAGAGACAGATGCGTTTACACTGCTATAACGTGACTCAGATGCGTCTCAGAACAGCTCCTGACTTAGTTTGAGTGATTTTATTTGTATCTGTGTCTTGGGTGCGTTTATACTTGTATTTTTACGTGGCTTTGCCAGATCCAGGTATAGTCTTGATACCTAAGATGCATGAAGTGACCGGGTGTAAATGGGGTCAAAGAAAGCCAGAGACAGAGAGAAAGGAAGAGGGGAAAAAAGGAAGATTGAGAGGGAAAGAGAGAGAGAAAGACCTTGAGAGAAAAGGAAGTTAGAAAGTAAGAAAGAAAGAACAAGGAAAGGGAGAGAGAGAGAAAAGAAGAGACAATGAGTGAGAGATAGACAGAGAAATGGAAAGAGAGAGACAGAGCAATAGAGAGAGAGTGAGAAAGAGAGAAAGTGAGCAAGAGAGCGAGTGACAGAGAGAGAGTAAGAGAGAGAGCGTGTGGGGGTAAATAAGCCCTGTAAGGATTAGGGCCGTCACAGCTGACTGCATCTAACCCAGTTTACACCAGCTGCTTCAGTGCAGAGAGAGAGACAGAGAGAGAGTTAGAGATCAAGTGTGCGTCCAAGAGGCCGAGGCCAAGAAGGAGGAGGAGGAGGAGGGGATAAAGGTGGAAGAAGGAGGAATGGCAACTCTGACTGTGTGTTAACACTGAGTGCGTGTGTGTGTGTGTGTGTGTGTGATGGCGACGGCGACGGCGTTTCCCTCTCCTCCATCTCTGTGTGTGTCTCTGTCCTGCAGTGAGCGCAGCAGAGAGCGACACAAACCACGCAGCCGCGATGGCAGCAACCGCTCCGACAAAAATGTCACCATCAGCACTGCGTCCGCACACTCAGCAGGAGCAGAGCAGACCCCCCCCACCACAGAGCCACAGGTCAGTACAGACTACACACACACTCTGTCATTACTGAGGTATACACACACTTCCAGGTGTGTTGTGTTTGTGAGAAGGAGAGTGAGTGGGAGGAAAGCACTGCAGTTTAAAAGTTGTCTTATTATTAAAGGGCCTGTATCCTGAATGTTTCTTGCATTTTATTTTTTCCCAAATGTACCAAAACAATCATTTTTCATTTTTCCATATCCATTTTACAACCTCTCTTTATCCCATAGAATTAAACAGGCTGTTTTTTTTACTATATCTTTAAGACTGATATATGTAAATAACCTGTGTTCTGAATGGATGTCCTGTATTGTGCCTCATTCAAAAAGTAGGTCAGGTTTAAACACTCGTTATAACCTCAGTGATTGACAAGATAGATATAGTATGTCAATGTGTTGGTTTTCATGACATTACGGAAATGTTAAATTCAAAACCACAAGGGTTTTTAGGTGCTTTATTACATACTTTAAAAGGGGGGCGGGGCAAATTTAACTCACATATTCCATAAATTTATCATCATTAGAGAGAGAGAATACAGATAGACAGATTCACAGAAACGTGAGAAAAATACTACACAGTACACTAAATGTGTGGAAAAATAATACACATAAATATTAAAAAAATTTATAGTATAGTATTTTATAATATATTAAAGTTTGAACTATAAATTAATAAAACAATAAGCCACAAGAGGCCATGGGTTACTGCGATTTTACCACGGGCAGGGTGTTTGTCACAACGTGAAGCAGAGTGCCTAAAACTCCCTTCCTGTGATAAAATCACAGTAGCGCACAGCCTCAAGTGGCTTATTGCTTTTAGAAAAAAAAATAATCAACATAAACAAGTATTCTGCCAGTAATGTAGTTCCTTTAAAGAATGGTATCATTGCCAAACTGCTGAATGAGGAGAATAATTGATCACCCATCGCTGTATACTGCAGTCATTTCATCATTTTAAGATTATGTCATATAAGAATGAACATATAATAAGTCAGCGCTGTTTAATGCAAAAACTCTTGTTTTATAAGTACTTTTTGGTCACCAAATTACCACCATGAGACTTATTTAGCCATAATCCAGCGGCGCCCCTCTTCTTGTGCTGGGGCTGAATCTCAAATGGCTCCCTGCTCCCTACAAAGTGCACTACGTAGGAGTGCACTTTGGTGCAAAATATAGCTAAGAAATATTTATTTGGGACGCAGATATTTTAACATGTAAAATTTGCTAGGAATTAGAGAGCAGGGAACGTATGAAGGGCAATGTGTCTCCAGGTCTAGAGTTGGGAAACACTATTAGATTGTTAGATAATTGTATTATTGTATTGTTAATCTATTGTATTAGATTAACCATTTCCAAAGCTCTCCTGGAGGACATTCAGTATTTATGGTTAGCATCCAATACTTAGTTTACCTAATCAGTCCTTCTTTAAATTAAATCAGGTGTTCTCCTGATGAAATTGAACAAATCCATGCAGTGGCTGGAGAGCAGTGGGAAATGAGAACCCAAACCTGTGGTCTTCTAACTGTATTCCTCTAACCAAGATATGCATAATATGTAAAATAAATCATCTCACTTTTTACATGTATGTTAATTTGTTTCCATGTTATTTAGTTTTTCCAAGCAGAAAAACAATTAAATGCCAATATAATATTTTAAACAGTTTTCTTGGTTGCCTAATACTGTATATATTGTCACTGTCAGAACAAAACTTCAAAAGGCTAACTTAACAGAAAAAGGATAAAACGTTCTTAACTTTTAGTGAAAGTTAATTGAGAAATAATTTATTCCAAACAGTTTTAGTACATTGATCATGAAATTTTGACACGGTGTAAAGGGTAGCTAACTTGATGAAATTATGTGAAAAAAATGAAAAATGAGAAAAATGGAGAGGCAGGGTTTTGTCCCAACAGTGACAGAATGAACTTGTAGCCGTTTATGTTTAATATTGACATTTGACAACAGACATGAAAAATCATGAGCAGTGAAAAAGTGTCAAGTTCAGAAACCAGTCCACTGTAGTGGGGTCCGGTGACATCGTTCGAGGGAGAACATTGTTGTGATTTTATCATGAACATTCTGGTGCACTCTCAGACTAAAGTACTAGGGTAATTGCTGTGGAGTCAACCATGTCGAGTTCAACTATGCAAATACGGATTATGTCCAAAAATTATTCTCTTTTTTTTTCAGAAAAATCTGTTGCTTATTATACTAAGAGGTCAGTGTAAACAAAATCAGGCAGAAATATTCTTTGGAGATCCCACATCTGTTGTAAATAGAGGCCCATCATTTGTGTTTTACTGTTCAACTCTCAAATGGAGTGGCATGCTTTTGCTCACCTTGGAAGGTGACTTCACCGGTCAGGAAATGTGACTGTCTTTTCACTAAGTAACTTTATTATGATTTAAATGTGATGAAAAGTTATTGTTGTATGTATAGTCTTATTTTATAGAAAGAAGTCAGAAGTGCAGGCTCAAATCTGTCAATAGAGAATGTAAATTGAATATAAATGTAATTAATTGTTTAACATGCTCTGTGATTTATTATGTGATGATAAAGTTACATTTAGATATTTAACAAAATGTCCATGAAACAAAAACTGTTTTTTCTCTGATTCCTAAATGGTGATTAAAGTATGTTAGAGGAAATACTTATTTGGTCATCATTTTCATGTGAAATCATGTCATGTATGGATCCTGTAAATCAGCCCTTGATTCCAAGTTGAGCAAAGTGGAAACTTCCTCATGAACAGTGGAGCATCTTCTCTGTGTATTATTGGCTTTTAGTGTGTCACTATCACTCTGCTTGCCTTCCATATTAGTTTATGAAGAATGTTAAAGGTCACAGTGTTTTCTGCCTTCACGTGTTGAAGGTTGTTGAAGTTGAAACCTTTTAAAAGACTAATTGAGTAAATGTCTATGCATTTTAACAGGCTCTCAAACCTTTTCTATCAGTGTTTAGTTACCTTAGTTCTTACTGGCCAATAAAAATTAAACACTGTATCTGTAGGTTGGCTGAGTAATGACCATGAGCTGCTGCTGTGCTGTGTTTGATGGGAAGAGCAGGATTTTCTCTCACAGACTCTCTCTTACGTTTCAAATGCCCCCACAACCCCCACCCATCGAATCTACATGATGCATGTGAATGGCAGAGCTATCATTAAAAACAGTGAATTACACTGAAAGGTAATGAGTTTGCATGTGCAGAAAAACACTGCAGTTATAAACAAAATCATATTCATGGCTTCATTAAAATAAAACAGTTGAAATATTGGGTTTGGCACTCTCTTTGATTGGCTTTATTAAACAATAATGGAGGTATTACAGCAAAAGAGAGCAGGCAAGGAGAGGGACACATTAGAGCGGCAGTAAAAATGGGAATGACACTTTATGGAGAGAGAGAGAGAGAGATGCTGCCCTAGGCCTCATACCAGACCTCAGTCATTCTGACCTACTTGGCTTTTTCTCAGTGGGAGATAACACACAGTTTTTACAGTTCCTCATGTCTCTCAGAATTCATTAGTGCAAGTGCGCAGTGTGTGTTACATTCCACTGGTCAGTGCAGAAGTATGGCTATAATACATAACGTAGTAAAGCCCTTATGTTGTGATGTATAGGCTACATTGCAGTATGGACACTGTATGCATTAAAGAAATACCACAGCACTGCCCAACCCAACTTCTGTCTGCTGCATCTGTAATACATGGTCAATAATCAAGAACAGTCATTTTGATATGTTGTCCTGTTTATCGAGAAAATGCATTTACTTAAAACTCACTTGCAATATAACTCAATGGACAGTTGCTTCTTTCATCCAACCATAAGCTGCAGAAGCAGCAGAATGAAATAAGATTGACAAACGTCAGGAAGAAAAAGATGCTCTGCTGCTTGGTAAGTGATAGACAGTTTGATGTCAGGTTTTACATTTATAATCACCTCTGTTTTAAAACCAGAGATAAATATTTTTTAGTGCTTCTTTTGTTCTCATGCATAGTGTAGAAGTCCAAACCAAGAGAGATCATACCTAACATACTCTAATTTAAATCAGTGCTGAATAAAACTGTTAGCCAAGACTAATATCAGTGTATGATAGGACAGGCACTTTACACGCTTTGGATACTCGTTGTTTTCCGAGCTAGTAGTCGTATACTCATTCTTAATACTACCCTTAAAAACAGTAGCATTTATATTTCATAATTAACCATATTTATTTAGCAAATTAAAAATGTAATATATTTTAATCAATTTAGTTTCAACAGTTCATACATACATACATACATACATCATCTAAACCGCTTATCCTCCTGGGTTGCGGTAGGGTGCTGGAGCCTATCCCAGCTGTCATTGGGCAGAAGGCTTCAACAATTCAGTTTTTTCAAATTGTAATAAACAGTTTTATACATGCGTACATACCTTTTTACAATGGATGTCAAAAAGATGCAGAGAGACTGATGTGCTATAATGTAATGTTGTTTGCAAATTCTTTTAGTGCACAATTTCAATTTATTTGCTGTTTTTATTCCCAACATGTTACATTTAGCAAATAAATTGTCGATAAGGAGAAAGATGAGTCTGTCTGCAAAATTAGATACCAATAATGACATAGAAATACATTGAAGGCGCAAATCTTTTGGAATATTTGTTGAGCATTGTGTTTTCATAGCCATTGTTCCTGATTTACTGAGTTTATATTGCACTGCTAACTTAGGGGTGCATAAGTTCCATTGCATCGCGAGTGAAATAACTTTGACAGAAGGTACATCTCCTTTAGCATTGATGCTTCAGAATGTCATTTCAGTGTCTTATACTAAATTCATTAAGAATCAACCAAATTGATTAGCCATCTTGCTGTCTCTATTTATCTCCATCTCTTAGCTCCACGGCGGCTAAACGAGTGACTGAGGACACTCAGTTTCCCCCCTGAATGTCGTTCAACTGTTTAAACTACAGCCAAACAAATGAATGTGTATTTGGCTGTTTCTTATTGTTTAAATGTTAA